GTGGACCGATTTTCGCCGTATCTTTTGCGACGGAAATTTGAGCTTGAGACTGACCACAAACCCCTCGAGGCAATTTTCAATCCAACTTCTAGGCCATGTCCACGGATCGAGCGTTGGGTTCTTCGTCTCCAGTCTTTTACATTTGTTGTGAAATATCGCAGAGGAGTAAACAATATAGCCGATCCTTTGTATCGTTTAGTTGAGCACAACGCTGCTGAGGAATTTGACGTGGAGAACAAATTTATGGTATTGGCTATATTGGAGTCAGCGGCTATTGATGTACAGGAATTGGAGGAATCAGCGAAGTCAGATCGAGTTTTGGAGCTAGTTAAAACATCAATGAACTCGGGAACATGGAACGAGCCTGAAGTTAAACCTTTTGCTCCGTTTTCTAATGAGTTAGGTTTAGTAGAAGATATGGTTGTTCGTGGAAGCAAACTCGTTGTGCCAACTAATCTGCGATCTAGAATGCTCCAATTGGCTCACGAAGGACATCCCGGAGAATCCGTGATGAAGCGTCGTCTCAGGGACCGAGTCTGGTGGCCAGGAATGGATCGCGAAGTAACCAATTATGTAACAGCTTGTGAAGGTTGTCGGCTGGTAGGACTACCAAATAAACCAAAACCGATGTCACGCCGTCCGCTTCCTAATGAACCGTGGGTGGACATAGCCATAGACTTTCTCGGGCCTATGCCGGACGGAGTATACTTATTTGTTATCATTGACTACTATACTACCCATAATCGCATATCAGTCCCTTCTTTGATTTCCTATCCATATGGGACTGTCGAAAACAAAAGGGAAGGATCATGAAGATATGCGACGAGGAGCGAAGAGATCGTCGGTAGATGTGGGTGATTCAGTTTTGATACAAAATCTTCTACCAGGCAACAAGCTGCAGACAACATTCAATCCCAAGAAGTACGTAGTAGTATCCAGGTCCGGTCCTCGTGTTACCGTGCAAGATCCAGAAAGCGGAAAATCATATGACAGAAGCACGGCTCACCTTAAGAAGATTACTAACGCTGACCTGTCAGCGGAAACATACGAATTAGCGCCACATGATGTTCCTGATCTTTCGAGTGAACGTGAACGTGAGCAGAGTCGAGAATCTTCCGAGGACGAATTCTATGGTTTCGAGCTGGATCAAGCACCTAAAGTAAGCGTACCTTCACGACAGAGCCGAACTACGAAGAGACCGACACAATTTGCAGATTATCAGCTGTAGGATTATATTAAAAAAGGGAGATGTGGTACCCGAGTACGGCCCTGCTAGCGAGGGTGATTTTGGTTCTCCAGTGACTACCCTGGAGTACGGGCCTGGGGAATAGGGAACTGTCATTGGTTCTTTGTATTTTGAGCGTGCGAAATAAACACTTATTATTGTACCGGCTAAATTATGTTTTAAAGTAAATATGAACGCGAAATATCACAGATCATATTGTTAATATAATATATTTGGTTTTACGACAATCTTCATATCTAGATTGCAATGCTATATTGACAAGGGCGTTTCGAATTAACCAGGTTTCGATATGGGGGGGAGGGGCAACTCATGTTTTGCTCGATATCTGAATTTTATTTTCATCAGACAGTGACAGATTTTTAAAATTCAGAGTCTAATATAATTTTAAATTTTTCCTGCATTGAGCATTTGAAAAATATTTTTTAAACCAAGATTTTTTAAAAAGGGATCATAACCTTGCAATATTGTCCATGCAATCAACTCCCTTAGCTCAGTCGGTAAAGCACAGCTACAAAGCAAGACCATGCTGGGAGGTGGCTGGGTTCGATTCCCGGTCCGGTCTAGGAATTTTTCGGGTTGGAAATTTTCTCAACTTCCCTTGGGCATAGAAGTATGATTGGACTTTGCCACACAATTATATCAATGTAAAAATGGTACAGGCATCGAAAGCTCTCAATGAATAACTATGGGAGTGCATCTAGAACACTAAGTTGAGAGCACGCAATAAGCTAATATGCGATATGCAATAAGCTTGAAATGCGAAGAAGAAACAATCAACTCTAAACGATTAGCATTTAGAAAATTTTACAATATTTTGTAACTTCGACAATTAAGCAAAGCAAAATGATAAAACATCTTTAGTATCCCTAATTTATTAAAAAAATTTAAAGATTTTTTTTTCATTTCGTTTATTTGGCAGGCTCAAATGTTATAAAAATAACTTAGCGGAGCCGAGTAACATAGAATACCAATTATGGTACTCAAAATACAAAAAAAATATATACAAATATATTTTATCATATGATTTTTCTGGGTGGCGGTCGAAGCGGCGACAAAACGATCTTCTCCCGTGCACGCAACTTCTTTCTTTCCCGAATTTGTTCCTCATTTTCATTGAACCCGAATCGTGATCGCTGCTGCTGTTTCTGAACATCGTTTCCCGTTGCATGCTCTCCGCTACTCTTCTCGGTCGTCGGGGTAGTCACGTCCATTTCGTTATCTTCATTCAACATCTCCAACCCCGTGTCCGTTTCCTGATCGCTAATGACAAACGACGCACCTTCCACCACTACACCAGCATACGTACTGCTGCTGTTTTGTTTTCTTTCACTTTGCTTTCCTTTTTCCTTCAGTTGCTTCTCCGGTTCCTTCCGAGCCTTCCGCTTGGGACAGGAAAGCTTCCGGTGTCCGTCCGCCTTGCACAGAAAACATTTATCTTTGTTGCCATCATAAAAAATATTTCCTTTGCGATTGAAGAAATGTAATGACGTGGGGATTTCCTTCTTCACATCCATATATACACCGCGTATCCCTGTATATACCTCAAAACACAGATCAGTTGGAAATTTCTCCCGGATGATGCGTTTAATTTTCCCATATTTCCCCAGCACTTTATCCAGCTCGTTGTCGGGTACCTCTGGTGGCAAGTCATACACACGCACATATTGAATGAATTCACCAGCATGCGACATGCGTACCTTTGCCGTCGTTCCATTCGCATAATGGAAGATTAAATCCTCCGAATTGAATGTCAGAGCATGGAGCATCGCTTCCTCTGATTTGAACTTCATGAAGACTCCCCTTTCCTCACCAATGCGATAAACAGCTTCCATTTCAGCCGGATCCGCGTCGAGTGCTTTGGCGAAATTTACTATCTCTCCGATGTTTGGTTTGGCATCACAATGGCTGAAGCTAAACTTGATGGTGTTTTTTACTTCACACATCTTGCACCGTAGCAACAAAAGGCACAAAGAGCAACTATATAATAGCGAGTCTCGAAAACAGGCTATCGTGTGGTTCACAACGAAATAACAAATCGACTGCTGCTGTAGAAAGCTGTGGGACAACTGAATTATAAAGATGTTACACGTTTTTATACATGAGAAGGATTTCAATATTCTACAATATGGTGACCGTTCAATACTTAAAGATTTCTTATTTTATCGAAGACATTCTCAATTCCTCATCTCATCTCATCTATTTATCTTTAACAATATACAAAATTATGTTTGAAAACTTAGTCTTGGTACAGTTGTACCATTTTATTCGATAACCGTTTTTCAATAATCATCATTAACTTGAACATTTATTAGAAATATTTTATTTTAGATTTTTCTTAAAGTATGGGTTAAGATAAGATAAAACAATGGCACTTATGATTACTTTTAGACCAACCTGGAAAAAAGATCATAAAAGTCGCAGTTTCATCAAAACCCGCTCAAGATGTTGAGACTTCGTTTAGTTCGTAGTGCTAAGAACTTTGAATAAAATCGATAATTTCATATCGGCTAATCATGAGCAATATTTCAACAAGTGGTACATTGAAAGTTTTCCAAGTGAGGATTGTAAACCGAATATCCTTCAACTGAAATTCCGCTAAATTTTTCATCTCTCTAGTCTAGTCTAGTCTACACATACACAGCCAGTACTTGAAAGAATCCTGGAAAATGATACATCGATTTGTACCTTCCTTAAAAGTTGTCCTAGCTCGCTTTTCTAATATCTATATACAATCTTCACACTGCCGTACTCTAACGGAACTATCAACTCTATGCTTTTATCTACTCCATCTATCGTATAAAAATTACCACTACAGTCTGTTATTTGAAATTAGCATCTTCAACTATGTAAATCGTTGACTTCACGTACAAGTAATACTAAAAACATATGGTCAAAGTACATAACTCTGGATGGGAGCATACCATCAATTACTGTCAATGGTCGAAAGGTACAGTAGCAACACCTACCCCACCCGTGTCCCCTCGAGATCGTCAAGTCGACGATGACAGGAGCACATATCGTGGTAGGGGTAAACAATAGTTGCAATTTCCAAACCTACGACTGGATGCCTTCCTTCAAATAACAACTGAAGTGCGGTAAAAAATCGGTAACTGTTTCAAAACACACAGTTGGTACTTGAGCGGGTCGGTTTTCATCTCTTTTTGCCAGTGGTGGCGGGGGGAGGGACACCCCTCACCATCCCTCTCCAAAGGGGGAGTTTGGTAAAGAGAGATGAAAAAACCGATTTGTACCTTCCTTAAAAGTTGTCCTAGCTCGCTTTTCTAATATCTATATACAATCTTCACACTGCCGTACTCTAACGGAACTATCAACTCTATGCTTTCATCTACTCCATCTATCTATCGTATAAAAATTACCACTACAGTCTGTTATTTGAAATTAGCATCTTCAACTACACCTAGTACAGTTTGGGCCCGATTTTGGCAAGACGTCATTATTTTTTTTAATTTGCTTGTACTCTGCACTAAAAAACCTCAAACCATATTTCATATTTTACTTAGACTTTCCGGATAATTGTGAAGCTTTTGAATCAGATTTTCAGGATTGCATTTATTAAAAATTATGGATAGTTGTAATGTCAAAAAATGTGTCTTGCCAAAATTGCACCTTACTGTACTTAATTTTGACATCGCCGTTGCCGTCTTAGACAGCAGTTGAACGCGAACTGAAAAAAATGTGATTGCGACGTAAGTACAAAGCGTCATCGAAAAAAAGTGCTACTCAAAGCAACGAATTCGTCATTAGTTAAATTTTTATTAAATGTTGCTTACTACAATCTTAGTCAATCGTATTCAATATTTCTCTTCTATATTTTAAACCTTTTTCTATAACGATCACTTTGAATCGTTCCACGCATTTTATCGTGTGTGTATTCAACTGCTTCATGCTGACCATGATCCATGTACACTTATTTATCTTCTTACATTACGGTTCCTACTTTAGGAAGAAATACGACTACTACACGTGTATTAGTACTACTGTATGTACAAGGTAATTGAATAACGTACAACATCAAGCTCGCACTCGCACATCTCACGCAACAATCAGACATTTTCGCACAATAGGATGGCTACTTGTGGTTTCAGGGTTTTTATCGGTATAACCGTGCAAATTCTTGCAACGCTTGTGTTACTGCCCTTGGCGTTTCCGACCTATGGATGAAAATCACAAATGACGTTATATGTAGGACTAGTTGCAAGACTCGACTCACTTGACAATGTTCACAACGAATTCGATCATCTGTTCGTTGGTCACCGTAATGCACCCGCCGCTATTCGTCTTCGGCAATGCATCAACCGCTTTCTGGACGTAGCCTTCTAACTGATGAGGGTTCAGTTGCTTTATTTCAACAAACACGTCTGCTACATCGGATAGCATGTACGAGTGCAAACAGAACACGGACGCGTATAGCAGATTCATTATCAGAGCTTCACCGTGTTGCATCAGAATGCTGTGAACGATTGAACGGAGTTCGTTGGCACGATCGTGGCGACCGTAGCTGAGTAGACTGCAGAAAAATCGCATCACCGAAAGATTGGCATCTCGATGATCTAAAGTACAAGCAAGTAACCCGCACTGGATGATCGGAGTCACAAGAGGACTTTGCAGAAGCTGGAACGGTGATCGTTGAATGAAACGTGCTACCAGTCGGAAGAAATCGTCCACCATATCTGGGTGGTTCTTCAGACCATTTTCCACCTGCAGTACTTGGAAAGTAGGTTCAATGAAAGCTTGCAGCATATTCAGTAGTCCCTGAATACAGCTTGGTTCACAAGCAAATTCGTCAACCAAAATACTTCCTAGATATAGCAAGCAGCTGTGATTGTGCCCTGAGTAGATGGTAATTATTTGTTTCACTAGTGGTTCCAATATTGGCATAGCCTGCTTTCCGACGCAACGTATGGCATACCGAATACATCGAACGATTCGCTCCATAATTTTGGGATCGTTTTTGTAGCACTCCATAGCTCGGGATAACACATTCCAATTGCTAACGATCACAAAAACGCAAGGGTTTACCTCATTTTCGCTGACCGTCGGGTTCACATGCCGGTAAATTGACGCCAAACGATCTACCCAAAACACGGGATCGTGACGGTCTTTTTTCAGTCCAAGTCCATCGTCTTCTCCGCTGGTAAGCTGGCTCAGGGCACGTACTTGAAAGCCACAAAGCTCTTGCATAGCAGGTGTAAGCTGGTCCGACGGTAATCGTCCGATGATGATCGATATTCCCTTAAGTAGACCTATGGCGGATTCAGTTAGGATTTCGAATCCGTCTAAACAACGTGCTATTTCCATGAGACCACTTATGTGACCCAACATGTGCTTCTTACATGCGGAACATATCGACTGCAACGCATTCGCAGCTGCCGTTGCCAAACCGTTCTTTTGCTGCAGTGCACACAGTAGAAAGTTCAAAATTGGTTGCAGCGTTTCGGGATTCGCATCAATCCAATCGCACAGCTCACCCAAGATGTTGATCGACGTGTATCGGATTGCTATGTGGCAGTTGGAGGGGAGATTTAGTATCGCCTCCACCACCTTCGGTACAACCTCACTTTCCTCGCTGTAAGAAAAACGAAAAAAAAAGAAAGAGAAAAAAGAGCACGTTACGTTCGGATCAGACGCCGATTGGGTGGATGGTTGCCGTGCGGCCGGGATAGTCACCAAAGCTGATTGAATCTGGACGCCGGTATGTCGCGTTCTCCCAATTGCATTATCTCTCTAGAAAGTTACAGAAAGGAGAACAGCGAAGTTTCAGAACGTTAAAAATACGTTTTTTGTGTCGAGAATGCTAGCATTAATCTACATGTAATAAGAAAATGGATGGACCGTTTGGTTTTGAGCAAGTGATTACTGTGTCTGGCCAAATGAATTAATGCTAGTTTCTGCTCAACAACTGTCAATTGTATTAAACTGTTCTGGAGATGCAATGAAGTTAAACAAAATGCATTGAAATCATAAAAAAAAAATGAAAATATTAACCTCTCGAAACAAATATAATAGGTGCAGAAAATCATAAATAACTAGTCCTGTTAATCCTCGATTATTCATAGTTCCCTAAAAAACTAACAACCGTCAACAAAGACCACCTAAACTCCAGAGCTGTTTGTGCATAAGTTTAAAAATCGAGATGAGAGCTGCACCTCGCTCGAAAACCAGAGCAGTGTGTATTATTTCCAATGTTCACTTTCGAACCATACACGCATATAGATTCGAAACCACGAAACGCTTTCATCAAGAGGTCAGTTATTAAGGTGATACGGCACGTCATGTAACAATGGCTGTCCCCACAATCATTAAATAAACGTGTTTTAGTATGCGTACAAATGAGATCTTCCTACAAAATAGTAAATTACTAATTACATACCTTAAAAAATGGGCCAAAACTGTATGAATAAGATCTGGATACATATTTGTACACTTTCTCACCAAAATATTACCAGATCATTCACGCATTCGCAATATTTGCATGAAAAAGTACGATCAGTCGATTTTGTTCTACTCTGGGCATGTAATTTAACTAACTGTTTTCACTAGCTTCCACTTTTCAGAATCACACTAAAAACAATTACGACACGTGCTTCTACAAGCACTTTCAATTTAATTCACTTTTAAAGATGATATTTACTTAAATGATATCATTTGCATCGTTGAAAACGCGAGCCGCGAATAATTTTGTGAGCTGAAATTGTTTTGTTTACCTTTTTTCTACACACCACATTACGAAGGTGTGTGTACAAATCATCTATCATCGTATCCAGTGTTGTCAATTAAATTGAAACAAAGTGTTTAAAAACAATGTTTTTATTGCTTTTTAAGGTTCTTCAACTGTGTTCAATTTAGAAACCATCACTAATAAATATTAAAACAATATCTTATTTTGCTTTTTCCAGAAAAGAAATGGAAGTAAATAAACCTACAAATCTTCTATAGAGAACCTATTTGTCATTCTGGTTGCACTGGTCGAAGCCATCTGCTGATATTAAAAAGGCGGGAAAAGAATGATGGAAAAATATATACATACACGATAAGAAAAAACGTACCTAGCGGCCAGTTTACATTTACCTACTTTTTACTTTGAGTATATTCACGATCATATTCACCTACTCTTGGGTATAACTGACTTACTTTTGGGTAGAAAGCGAATTTTCAATTCCATAAGATTTGAACACAAGTGAATGAAACCTACTTTTAATCATTTTACCTACTTCCTGCTTCCTGTAATAGAGTGGCGAGATGTGTGAAAATAACTTACTTAAGGGTACTTTTTTCTTACGATGTACCTGGAGGTTTGAGTGCTGGAATCATTTTTGGACTGGTCGTGTGTAACCAAAGTGTACAAAGTGTGGCTTTGAATGAATCAACTACTATGATTACTTGACTTGGTTGGCCTTGGTGGCTAGGCGTATGATATTTTTCTGTATAGCAAGGGATGTCCTTGGGAGGTGGTAGATCGTTAATTTTGGCAGATTGAATAGAAATGTAGTAATGGTGTCAATAATGGATGATAAATAGACATTCGACCTATTAATAACGAACTCTAGCAGCTATGTTTACGGTAGTTGCGACAGTGCATGATGTACACCCACACCCCTACAGCATCAATGATAATTATTTCACTGACACATAGAAACGAGAGAGAAAAAAGCAAAAAAAGCGTGACGTATCGTATCACCTTAATGCATTTAAGTTTGTATCTGAATTGAGTGCCGTTCTTTTATTCTGATCATAGTCATGTTTACAAGAATGTTCCCCGGATCTTCCCATTTGTCTTTGTCCATTTCAAGCACACATCCCAAATATATTGCGATAAATCATTGATTTTACAAATAATATATGAAAAATACGAAGGGCTGAAATTGGGAGTACTACGAAAGCCGAATCACAGAAGGCCGAATAACAAAAGACCGAAAACACAAAAGGCTGAAATACACAAAAGGCCGAATCACGAAAGACCGAATCACAAAAGCCCGAATCGGGAAAGCGACAAAGTGGACCAGTTTTCGGCCTTTTTGGTTTTCGGCCTTCTGTACGGGTCCCATGAAATTTACACTGCGTACCCGTAACTATTAGGTTTTGCACCGTCGGGGTTAACCTCAATCTGATGACAGTTCAGTGGTACTGTTTACGTGGACTTAGTCGATTTTTTCTTGGGTGGATTTTCTCGATAATTTTTCAGACTGCAGTGAGATGTAAACAGCATTTCTGCAATGTTTGCGAGCAACATCCTTGCAACGCGCTGTTCCTCGACAATTTTCAAGTTAAAATTCAGAAATTTTAGAAATTTTTTTTTCGAAAAAACGATTAAGTGCTTGTAAACAGTACCACTGAACTGTCAAAAAGGTTCAGCCGATTAACACTGAGTTCATTTATGACGTCACACTGCAGTACCTAATTGCTGATATGGTGCGTTTTAAATATGACATCGACTCTTAAGGGCCACCGTTAGATCCGTTTGCGTTGCGTTGACGTAAACTTGGCAGTTAGACAATAGATTTAGCTGTCACTTTGCCGCAACGCGTCCGATCCGGATCTAATGTGCGTGGACCTTTAAGGGCGAGAGGAGGTCGTTGAATTGGTGACAGTGCGTGTAATGTGTGACGCAGGAAGGGAGGGGGTAAAACGAAAAACTTATGAACGTAATATTTCAATCACCCCTATGACTTAATAAACTATCTTGATATGAGCACCCATATGTGGATTTGTTCCTTGAAATATTATATGAGATATTTGACACCTAAAATGGGAAGTGGGGCAAAGTGGAACAGGACCGTAAACCTTACGAAAATGCTCTATTCTGAAAACAAAAAATATTGCTGCAATCTTACAGAAGCTTCAAAGGTTGATATATGATGCTACGCGTAAAGAATTATTATGATGGATTAGGTCCTAACTAACATTGACAGATTCTCTTCGTTGATTTTCTCTTTGCATCCCCACGGCCATGTAAAATCATTTCCATTTTCAAACTGTTGTTATTAACAAAAGCGAAAGACGATGAAGAGAATTGATCAATGATGCTTAGGATCTTATGCATTAATCTAATCTAAATCTCCCCGCTCCTTTTCCAGCAAATTTGACAATTCTGACGGGTTTGTTTCGGCTCCCGTCCGTTGCTATCTCTTTTACTCTCTTGGAGAAAAGTGAGGTTAGTTTTTGCGTGCAGTGCTCTTTATTAGCGTGGGCTGACAAATTGGAAAATAAATGGATCATTGTGCCGGAATTTCGGACCTCAGATAGCCTAGTGGGTTAACGCGCGGTATTATCAAGCAGGATTCCCAGTACGTTCTAGGAAATCTGTATGGTTGGAAACATGCTCGAATTCCCTGAGCATAGAGTATCATTTTGCTTGCCAAATACATGCATCGGTTGGCATAGAAAGTTGTTTTAAAAACTGTGGAAGTGTGGTGAAAACTTATATAAGAGTGTCAAAGCCAGATAGAAGAAGAAGGCCGAAATTTGAACAATCATCACTCTGAAAAATCTTCACGTTCGATATTTTGATATCCTCAAATGTTACGTGACGTTAGTAACTTTGACCTGCATTACACTTAATGCTTGCTAAAAATGTTGGTGAAATCGACCGTATATTCACGTAAACATATTTAGTGTGTTTTTGTAACTGTGTTTGCGACTTTAACATTTCTGCGAAACGAGATTGCAACAAAAATCAATAAGGCGTCAACGAATAAGTTGGTGGAAGAAAATTTCCCAGGTAATTTGATTCTTTTACATAATTTATATATGATTATATGTAGCGAATTGCGCCTTTTTCTATTTTTAGAAGATGGTATCGGCATTTTGAGTTTGCTAAATATATACGCGGATCACTTCATTTAGAGCTTGGAACAGCTGTACTCAAATTGGGTCCATAAATGGATACCTATCGAAGATATCCTCAATCTACAACGGTTCGGCATATAAAATCGCACTTCTTTTCACTCCTTAGCATTCTTAAGTACAGGGGCAAGTGAACCAGGAAAAGCAGGAAAATTTCGGGAATAATTTTTTACCAAGAAAAACCGGGAATTTTTAAGCAACACCAGGAAAAATCAAAAATTACAGATGCATTTCGATTTGAAATGATGACGTTACTATTTATGTGTGATGCGTGCAAAATAATATAGGGAAAATGGCTCTAATTTCGGCTGTAAGATTGGGCCCATCGCTAAAAATCTGCTATTTTTCAATGTTATCTAGATGAACGCCTCATTGGGACGGTGCTAATGGATATTTATGATCGCTATTGAATATTTAGTCGATTACTGAATTTATGTATGAGCCCAAATTAGAGGCATTTAGGCCGACATTACAAATAAAATGTTTCAGGAAAAATTAACTTGATACAAATGAGAATTAGAGGAAACTGTTATTGATATCCAGTGGCGTCGCGTCCACATGTGCAACCTGTGCACGACGCAGGTGTAAATAATAAAAAAAAAACGTTTAGATTTGTATAGATTTTATGGTCTTATTATAGCTGTACTTCTTTACTCCAGATCAGAAGTGATCATGAATACACTATTTTATAGTGTGGCTCAATTGATTTCTAAGCATGTCGATATCACTACCATGCCAAACTCGTTAAAATGTGCACCTAGAAGCGAGCTTTTTTGGGTGGCGGGTGGCAAGTTTGTGAATGGTTAAATGCCTGATGAAAGCCAAGCAGACATTCTATCATCTCTTGAAACATACCACAAATTTTCCACAATACATGGCGA